ACACGCATGCAGACCTGTCAATGTGTACACACGCATGCAGACCTGTCAATGTGTACACACGCATGCAGACCTGTTGTAACATGTCTTTTGCACGTGTTACATGGATTAGTCAGTGGAGCTAAACTGGTAGTTGTTTTAGCCATAGTCTAGCTAGACAGAGCGTCGCGCAATAAGATGCGCGGCTACATTGATGTATTAGGGAGAATGGTAGACGTGGTTAGGTTAGACAGATTAGAGGGTCATTGTGAAATGGAGGGTAGGACGCGGTCTGTGAGAACGGTTACATGTGCGGGCAGTATGTTTGTAGGAGTTTTGGCGGGTAACATATAGGACAGAGATATAGGAGTCGGGGATTCTGGTTCTGGTTGCGGAAGGAGGCACACGCGCGTATGTGCGTGTGCGCGTTTTTTTTTGTCTCTTGGTGCGATGTGACGACACTGTGTATGCGTTATTAAAGTTTATGCCGGTTACTACAACAAGTTTGGCTTTCTATCATCATTCCTCGTTACACTGTCAATGCATGTGTACACACTCATGCAGACCTGCAGGGGCGGATCCAGGATTTTTGAAAAGGGGGTGTCCAGGAAGAAATAAAGGGCGCTTTTTCCTGCTTACTTTTTCTGGTGTTTTAAAAAGCTGCCGAAGGCCACTTAGGGGGGGGGGAGGTTTTTTAAAAAAATTGGTGGATTCTGAGAGAATCTGAGAAGTAATTTTGATGTCTAGAATGCAAAAATTTATCAGATCCGGTCCCCGGACGCCTGCGGACCCCTCTTTGCCCATTTCTAGGTTTTTATAACGAATTTACATATATATAAAAGTATGACAAGAAACTTAAACGAGTTCAGCCCGTGGGATGGTAGTAGGTATCATTGTACACTACTAGGTGCATAACGCCAGCACCATAGTAATCAATGATGTAAGAAGATCCATCTGCAGGTTCGACTATCTATAAATAGATCAAGAGGCCATTGTCAGAAACATCGTAAAGTTAATGCTAATGTTAATGCTAGGAGAACTAATGCTAATGTTAATGCTTAGAGAACAAACGCCACTTGTAAATGTTTATTTTGGTACACAATTGGTAGATAAGTAATGTTTCTAACCGGTTTTCCACGAAGAACACACGTTTTACTAATTAATATGAAATTAATATCACTACAACTGCAATTATTTCTGTAAATGCGGTATTTTCATCTTAATCTTAAAGTTACCATATGGTCTGCGATCTCGTAATCGTCGGGAAACTTGCTGGGATTTTTCGTTCTCGTAATTTTACGATGTTTCTGTCAACGGTCTACGAGTCAAAGTCTACGAGCCTAAAAGTCGCCTATACGTCGCCTATACGTCGCCTAAACGTCTACCTGAATACAACTGCACACTGGCTACGTTATATAGCAGAGGTTTTGATTTCTTTGGCGACAATTACAGGACACCAATTATACATGTTCATTTCAAAATAAGAGTCGACTTGCTGATTATTGTCTTAAAAATGTGGAAAACGGTATAGACATTCGTCCAACGGTATTTATGGCACAAAAAAGTCAAACGATGAACAAATGAGGCTGCCGACTGCAATAAGCAGCCATTATATCTTGGATAAATGTATTCTCACATGCCTTTAACGTATGTAGAGTTGTCTGCATGTTCTTTATGTTATCACACATTATCACACATTATCAGCCACGAATATATGCACCGTATATAATTTTTGTACGTTTCTATGAACGCGTAAAGGGTAGGTATATCAATACATAATGATGCTGATGATATTTTGCATCATAATAGCAGATGCTTTATATATAACAAAAGTCAAATGCTGACAGTTTTAATAAACAAGCAAATAAAAACACACACCCGCGTACGCACGCACACATACACACAAACACGGAGACACAGACACATACACACGCGCGCATGCACGCACGCACACACATACACACGCGCATGCACGCACGCACGCACATACACACGCATGCACACACCGCACAAGCACACGCGAACGAGCATAAATTTTATACAAAATGTTAATTCATGAAAATATCCATAAATTACGTTATTATGAAATGGGACAACACTGTCAAGTCAGCGTGATCATGGCCATCGTATCCTATATATATATATCTTATATTCTAAATGCAGACTACTTTGAACTCAGTGATATACGGATCTTTGCTTTACCCACCCTCCCTCCATGCTCAGGCTACAGTACTGACGTCTGGCGGTCATATTACTACACATACTGGAAATTTTGTTAGCGGCGAATTTTTTGGTTTATTATAGAATCATTGTGGCCGTAATGGTGCGCTGGCACAATGCAGTGTCGTTGGTTGAAATACGCGTAGCGAGTGCTTACGAGGCATAGCGCGTTAAGGGACTTCCTGGAGCGGCAAGTCAAGGCAGGTCACGCGATCGAGCAACGCCACAGCCAAACTTATCAGTGTGCTAGACATGTTCTTTATTAAGACAACGATAATATACTTACGTAGCCAGTAGACACCCAGAGATCTCAGCGATTTAAAACCACACAACCACAATAGAGAATAAATAACGAATGTAAATAAGACCCGTGTTCGTCATATTCCGCTGAATCATTTTTTATAACAGACAACATTTGGACCAACGTAACCGAAGGCGTAATTATAGTTTTTTAAACAGAACACATTTGACAACGTTAAACCGGAAGGCTATATTAGTTTTTGAAACAGACTAAAACATTTGGAACAACGTAACCGGAAGGCTATATAGTTCTTTAAACAGACAACAATTTGGACAACGTAACCGAAGACTATATAGTTTTTTAAACCAGACAACATTTGGACCACGGTATTCCGGAAGGCTATATAGTTTTTAAACAGACAACATTTGGACAACGTAACCGGAAGACTTATAATAGTTTTTTAAACAGACAACATTGGACCACGTATCCGGAAGGCTATATCAGTTTTTTTAATCAGACAACGATTTGGAGGCAACGTAACCGAAAGCCTATATAGTTTTTTAAAATAGACAACATTTGACAACTATCCGGAAGGCTTATATAGTTTTTTTAAACAGACAAGCATTTGGACAAGCGTAACCGA